CTTGTTTAAAGGTTCCTTTTTCTCCATATCCTCACCAGCCTTTGTTATTTATTTATTTTCTAACTGGGATGAGACATAATTATATTATAGTTTTGATATACATTTCCCTGGTGACTAATAATATTGGGCATTTTTTCATCATATTTATTTATTTATTCATATTTATTGGTGACTTATTTTCCTCTTTTGAAAAGTGTCTATCCGTTCTTTAAAAAATGTTTGCCCATTCTTTAAAAAATGGATCACTTTAAAAAATTTTTTTCCCAGTTCTTTACATATTCTGGATATTAACCCTCTGTCAAATGAGTAGTTGGCAGAGATTTTCTCCCATTCTGTAGGTTTCTCTTTGTTCTGCTGATTGTGTTCAGTGCAGAAGCTTTGTAACTTGACAGAATCCCATTTCTCAATCCTTGCTTTTGATTGCTGTAATTTTGGAGTCTTATGCAGGAAAACATAGAGGAAACATATCAAGATATTGGCATAGGCCTTACATGAAGGTCTTGGTCCATTTCTGAGTTTATTTTTGCACAGGGTGAGATGGGAGTCAAGTGTCAGTCTTCTACATGTGGATATCCAGTTTTCCTAGCACCATTTGCTGAAGAGACTGTCCTTTCTTCAGTGTTTGTTTTTGACACTGTTGTTGAGAATCACATGGCTGAAGATGTGTAGGTCCTCTATTTTACTCCATTGTTTTGTGTCTGTTTTTATGCTAGTACCATGCTGTTTTGTTATTATGGCTCTGTAGCATGTTTTGATTTTTTTTTGTTTATTATATATTTATTTTTGAGACAAGATCTTACTATGTAGTTCAAACTGGCCTCGAACTTGTGGCAATCCTCCTGCCTCAGCCTCTGAGTGCTGGGATTACAGGCATATGCCACCATGCCTGGCCTTGTAGCATGTTTTGAAATCAGGAATTGTGATGCCTCCAGCTTTGCTCTTTTTGATGGATTGCTTTGGCTGATTACATATGAATTTTAGGGTTTTTTCCTAGTTTGTGAAGAATGTCATTGGTGTTTTGATAGGGATTGGATTGACTTTGTAGATTGCTTTGTGTAATATGGACATTTTAATGATATGAATTTTTCCAATCCATGCTCATGGGAAGTCTTTTCACCTTTGAGTGTCTTCAGTTTCTTTCTTCAGTATTTTATAATTTTCATTGTAGAGGTCTTAACTTCCTTAATAAGGTTTATTCCTAGTTATATTATTTTTATTTCAACTATTGTGACTGCAATTGCTTTTGTGGCAGTTCCTTATCAGTGTATAGAAAAGCTATTGATTCTTATGTGTAGATTTTGTATCCTGCCAGTTTACTAAATTCATTTATCAGTTCTGCTGTTCTGGTGGTAGAGTCTTTAGGTTTTCCTGTGTATAGAATTATCATTTGCAAATGGGGATAATTTGGTTTCAGTTAGTGTATCTTTTTTCTTTTCTCTTAATTTCTCTGGATAAAATGTCTAGTACTGTATTGATGAAAAGCTGTAAGAGTGCACCCTTGTCTTGATTTATCTTAGGAATGATTTCGGTTTTTTCGCCTTTGAGTGATGATTATGACCATTCCACATGATGTTGGAGCACTGCACTATTATCGCACTGGGCCCTGTCTCTCCAGTTAGGTGTAGTAGTGTTAGTTTTAGGAAATTATATGCTCCATCCTCCTGTGCATATATATTTAGGATCATTGTATCTTAATCATCACATTTATTGACCTCTCCAATGAAAATGAAGTTCTGATTTATGAAAGAAATGCTTACCATACTTAAAATATTTATAGAACTTCTTAGCTGTGTTAATTTTCTGATACTTAAAAAGATCTGCTTAGAAAAATTCTTATACATGGGGAAATTGTAGATAAATTTTCCTATTTGATGTCTTGATTTAGAGAAAATTTCTCACAATAGTTACAGGATTACTACTTTATAAAGTCTCTTATCTGGCTACCTTCCCAGGTCTGTTTCAGGTTTGTTCTACTCAGACTTAAGGTTAGCATAAAGTTTTTCCTGCCTAGTGTTCTTTACTCTGTGTTGTTATTGTTGTTATTATTATTATTATTATTATTATTATTATTATTATTATTAGTATGGGGATTGGACTCAAGACACTTGAGTTACACTTGCCAGACAGGTGCAGCACACTGAGTTACATCCTCGGCCCTCAGCATTATTACTGATTCTAAAGTGACATGTACTTCCACATGAATTCATAACCCATTTACACAGAAAGATTTTAAATCTTGAGTTGTATACATTCCAAAGGTCATCAAGGTGCAAACCTTCGAGGTTTCAAGCCCTTGGAGTTGTCCTCTTGAATAATCTTATACTTCTAACATGTAGAAAAAGGACTGCACAGTGTGTCACTGTTTTCAAGTGTAAGATAACACTTCCTGGTCCTGAGCCCCTGCACCTCTCCTTGAAGGTTCAGTACATTAGTCTGCCTCTTGCATGTCAGACAGGAACCTTTTCTAGGCAGCAGGCTCTTTGGACTCCTGTGTATGGTGAGTCAGTACCTCTGGGAATTCCCTAGGGTAGCACTCTAATCTTCACTTTTCATCCTGAGGAAGCAGTTGTCACATCTTCCAGAGGGAGATGTCTTCAATTTACAAATCACTGTGACAGGGACAAAAACCCTCAAGACATTCCAGAATAAAATGCAGAGGCAAGGCCCACAGTGGCTACAGAGCTACAGCTTCCTGGGTGAGAAATTGGTCCTTGTGCTCAAGCACTAGAGAAGTCCAGCAGCAGCAGCCTTTTGTGCTGGGTGCATAGTCACCATCTGAGAATGATGCTTGGTGGCCTCTGCCAAGGTAGAAGGAGCTCCCCTCCCTGGGTGGCAGACCCTGAAGCCTACCTCCCTGCCCTTGGACCCTCCAGGAGAACCAAGGCAGACAGGGAGAAGGACCATGCTGGCTGTGCAGCAAGTGAGGTGGGGCCTGTGGCATGCTGAGTGCAGCTCACTTACCTGGCATTTCAGATTGTCTTCTCAAAGGGAAACATTTCTGCTTTCATAATTTTCTTTCTCAACAAGTTGCTTTTATTATTTATTTTCCATATCATTGAGTTTTTATGCAACTGTAGAGATGCTCCATGTCCATAAAACAGGGCAATTCTATAAGCCAAAAGTGTTTTAAGAATTACAGTAGAAAGCATGTATGTAAAGCACCTAGAATGGTGCCTGGCATTTATCAGTCTTGCCGAACCCTGTCTTTTATTCCTTTTGAGTTTTATTTTATTTTTATTTTTATGTATTTATTTTTCCTTTTGAGTTTTATAAAGAGCAGTTTCAGCTGGGGATTTAGCTCAGTGGTGCCATGCCTGCCTTGAAAGCACAAGGTCCTGAGTTTGATCCCTGGTACAAAAAACAAAAAGCGGTTTCACTTGGAAGATCCATTTAATTCTGTGTTTAAGTTTGACTGATTTTAAAGAAGTCCTTATCCACCCTAATTGTGATAAATTTACAGTCTCCTGTATTTTTTATTGCACAGCTATAAAAATGTTTGTCACTGGTGATTTCATACATGTAATGAAAACTCAGTACATAGTTGTGTAATGTTCAATTACTTCTAACTCTCACTGTCAGCATTTCACACTGTTTTTAGAGAGCTGTAGGTACGCATATATAATATTCGAAAATGGATGTACTTTGTTTTTATTTTATGAGTATTATTATAAATAAAGGTTTGAATGTTTGCTTTATTTGTGTCAAGCCAAAGTATAATTAATAAGAACTTTCTCTTCCTGGGCATTTGTTGAACACTTACTTTGTGCCTAGTCGTGGATCACTGTTTCAGGGTTTACTGTGAATCAACTTCCCTCTTGAATCTTTTAATCAGTTATTCTTTTTACCTTTTCCTACATCTGTTCATGTTACCTCTTCTCTACCATTAATGTGTCAACTTTTACTTTATTCCCTTGTTTTTGGCTTTAATTTCTTGAGTATATTTTTCATATACTGTGCAGATTATAAAATTATCTGTGGAAGAGATGTTTGTTTTCTAATTTTACACCTATGAAGAAATTGCTACTGTGGGTATCTAGTAGGCATTCAACAAATGCTTGATGGTGAGTGAAATGCTTAGTTAAGTTTGATAATATACATACTGTAATGTATATTACTGACATCTTTTAAGAGGTACTATAGTATGTAGCCTTACGTTTTGAAAGTTATTGAAATTAAGTGCCATTTTTTTAGTAACTTATTTTTGAAAAATTATTTATTTTCCATAGTGGTATTATATACACTTTTATAGCTTATTAATGGCAGCTGATTTCACTTTGTGTAACTGAGCAGATATATCTATCTATCTATATATATATAGATATAGATATATCTATGTATCTATCTATATAGATATTGTCAGTCTATGGGGCTATTTCCTTGTCCTTTGAGGGACAGTAAGAGTTTTGTAGATAATAGTTAGGCTTGTTATTTATTCTCTTCGGTGCTTTGTAGCTAAAAGATAAGGGCTCTTTCTTCTTCTTCCCAAACTTCCAAGTTCCAGAATGTTTTATAGTAGATACTGCCTTAGGTATGAGAATTGTAGCTTGATAGAATGGAAATACTTGAATGCCAGAAAGTGAAATTATCCATAGAATTTTGTAGCTATAAAATTATTCTGTGTTAAAGCTTATATTTAATTCCTTTGCCACTCAGGGCCTTTCGTTCTTAATAGTGTGGTTCCTTTGTAAACTCTTTCAGGGTCAAATACAAATACAACAATTGATAGCATTCATTTAACTTTTGACAGAAAGATTTAGACAATGTTAGTTTTTTTTCTGTCTTAACTGTTTTTTATACACTATATCAGTTTTCTTTCTGATTTTAAGCTGCAGGGAGAAATGCATGTAGAGAAATACCATATATAATTGATGCTCTAATAACAGTAAATCTTGGAATAGATAATAGAATAATTACTTATCTGACAAGATTGTATGAATTTATAATTGTAGATTAATTTTACTAGTTTTGTTGTTGTTTGTGTTTTCTTGTTGTGTTGACAGGGTTGCTTTAGACACTCTTGCTGCATTGCTAAAATCAAGTAAGTTTTTAAATACTAGAAATACTAGATTCTTTTTTTCTGAACATTCTATTTACTGTGTTAAAGAAACTGGAAATACAATTTAGTCTACAGTTTTAAGCTAGTTTATAATATTCTAATGTTGAGATTGATTTTAATTTCTAGTGCAGTAGCTATCCATCATAACTGATAACCTATGTTTACTGAGCTATACTTTATCTCGGACATTTATATAATTTTTTCAAGCCAGTTCATTTCCTATTTTTAGGAAAAGGAAAATAACTGTCATCCATCATTGTTTTGAAGAAATGAAACTAACATGACATTGAAAAATTTTAATATAAAAAATATCTTGAACAACTATTATTGCTGTATATAACATGGTTTTAACTTGGAAGCTCTTACTAGAAATTTTGTTTCTACCATAAATTCTAATTTATAACATTTTAAAAAGTGAGTGTTAATCTAAATCTACAGACTTAAATTCATTATAAAATAAAACTCTTCATCTTCAGAACTGAAGCATTGGAGTAGATGTGTCTTACGACGCTTTTGGAGAATAGTCATATATGTTTATATGTTTTTCACAGTCCAAGATGCTCAGTATCTCTATTTTAAATATTAAGTTTCATCAGTAGTTGCCTGGATGATTGGTTAATTAAATTAATATTTTCGTCTTAATATTTAGTCTCAAACATCTCTGTTGATGACTGTCATAGGTCCCATCTTCTCACCCTATAATTAACAGGCAGTTGGTAAGCTATCAAGGGTGAGACTAATTGCCCTTAAGTTTGAATTGCTGGAGTTACTTTTTTAAATGGAGCAAATGATTAATTGAAAACCTGTTACTTGATAAATATTTATTAAGTTTAAAAAATCACCTAGGTTTTAGTATTATATCAGAGTTCTCATTTGACAGTTTCATTCTTGAAATGAAATATATGGTACTCATTTAGGTTATCTGTGTAGTTTTATTTTCATATGTGACGTAATAAACTTTAGAATGAAATCACATTAACTTCAAACAGTATTCTATTTTGCTTTGATGTGCTTTGACTTTGTAATTCAAACTATTTAAATGTTGATTCGTAATAAAGGCACATACTTTTTGAGTGGATCACAGTAGTTTTAAAATTTTATTAAAGCTTAGTGATTTCAGAATCACTAATGACAAAGGCAGTAATTGTAAGTCAGTAAAAACTAAAACTCTCAGAAGTTTCAAGTATTTTATAGAAATCAATTAACCTAAGATGATGAAATATTGTATCTTCAGTTTTAAGTAGTAGTTTTCCTTTTACTCCTACCATTCTTTTTACAAAGGAGGATGGTGGATAAATATACCTGTTACCGCCGTCAGGATACAGAAAGGTAACTGACAAGTAGTTTAATATATTTTCAAATGACAAATGTCACTGAATAGGATGAAATTTAATAATGGAAAGTGAGTTTTTTTTGTAGTACAGTGCATATTTTTAAATGGACCATAGCATTTTGGAGCATTCTTCATTAATTTATATTTTTAAAGATTCCTTGTATTTAAAGGATAAATTCAATTATTAAGATAAATGTTGGGAGAATGTAAGGTAAAAAATAGAATAAAGAATGTAAAAATGGGCAGCTAAACTGCTATTGTTGATGTGTAGGTTAAACTCAGCTTAAAGATAAACTTAAATTTTCTTTTAATTAGAGAAGGAAGAAGAGGAGACATGCTCATGGGGAGTTTTGTGCCCTGAACACATTATCTGGTATAATATTGCTCAGTGCAGATTGTAGATGGATCTGTTCACTTCCTTTATGGTTCACCTCAGCATCTGTGTTTGAATTATAACAGTTTATAAATTTGATCTTTCATACATAATTTTAATATTTCTCGTAAATATTGTTTAGGTTAGTGGGAATTCTAGCAGAAGCAGAAAGTTTTTAATAGTTGCAATGATCATAATGTCTTTTAACAAAATTATATTTGGAGCTAGTAAACTAAAGGCTTACATATTTTGATTGGTATAAACAGCTTTGTTTATATAAAACTTTAGTTGGTCAAAACAGTTAAGCTAATTTTACAAATAGGTCATAGTCTTATCAAGTAAGCTATTTTAGATATAATAGAGGTTTGAAAGCTTTCACATAAGAACACTTTCTTTCCCTGGTGAGTTGCTTCTACCTCTCTAATGTCAGAACATAGTTTTGGAAGAGAAGTAGTGAATCTATCTCAGTGTTATGTTTTAGGTATATTTCAGTGAATTTGGAAACTATAATAATTGTTTCAGACACCTAAAGTAAGTGTCATCTTAGTGTCCATGTCATGAGCCCAGAGTCATTTTATAGGTACATTTGAAGTTAAGAAGAGATTAATATTTCGTTGTAACTACACAGCCTCAGATGGATTAGTAGTTCAACCTATTATCTCGTAGTAGTTATAATGGATTCACAAAAGTAGCACTGGGTGGCTTGGTGTGTTGCTGTGATATGATTTCATTGCTGCTATCTTAGTAAAAGACACTATTTTTTGGTTAATAATCTTAAATATTGATACTGTAAAAAAACAATTAGGTTAAATTTGTACTCCAGTAAAATTGATCTTTTATACAAAACCTTTAATATACTTTTCATTATGTTAAAAGTTTAATGACCAGAAAGCACTATTTTCTAATCATGTAATGCTCCTTTTACCTTTCATTTATTAAAAAATTGTTCATTTTAAAATTAGTATTGCTGTGACATAGATTTTTATATAATTGTGAGTTTATTTGAGCAATTCATTTCCATGGAAACATAAAGTTTGTTATGGGAGCCACAATTCAATGGGATTAATTTCAGTGGGAGCACAGTTTTGAAATAGAAGTTAACAAAGGTGATAATGGCTTTTAACAAAATCATATTCACAGTACGGTAAAGGTTTTTAAATTACTTTTAATATAATGTCAGTATGTATGTTCATAACTTTTAAGATACATGAAGCTTTTATTAATATAATATTTTAAAAGATGACCTAATTTTACTAAAGAGATTTTGATATTTATAAATCATAAAATTATAAAATTATAAATATTTATAAAGTATTTATATGGGCAAGGAATTGCTGGAAAATGTTAATAAGGTCTTCTAGAACTTGTCATTTACTTTGTTAGAAAAACATATATAAATATTTAGTTGCCTCTTTTGGGGGGCGGTTATGAGAATTATAAGAATTCAGCCACATGTGGTGGCACATGCCTATAATCCCAGCACTTGGGAGGCTGAGGCAGAAGGATTACAAGTTTGAGGTGAGCCTAAGCAATTTAGCAGTCCAAGGCTATGTATGAGACCCTGTCTCAGAACAGACAAAAAACCAGGAAGAAGAACTGTGAAAATTCATCACAGTATTGATTTATATTTTTAATTAATTTATCCTACCCCTTTCTTTTTGTCATTTAAAGTATATTCTTTCTCAATTTTCTTTTGTTAAAGAAACAAATGCCAGGAGAGCTGTAGACAGAGGATATGTCCAAGTGCTTTTAACAATTTATGTAGATTGGCACCGCCATGATAATCGACATAGAAACATGCTTATTCGGAAAGGAATTTTGCAGAGCTTAAAAAGTGTTACAAACATCAAGTTGGGAAGAAAAGCCTTTATCACTGCCAATGGGATGAAGATTCTGTATAACACCTCACAAGTGAGTTGTTTTCTTCCTGTTATCCTACTTAATGTACTAATGATGATGCATCGTAAGAAAACTGAATAGTCAGAAAAGTTTACATACTATATATTTAGAAAAACTTAAATTCAGAAGGTGCAGTCATTGTCATGTGTGACCTCAGACTGAACTGAGGAAAGTGATCAGTGCACATGTCTTCCATGTGAGATTTCCCCGAGATTAAAGGATGTGTAAAAGCATCTGTTGGCAGAGAAGGCTTCCATGTAGCTGTGATTTCTAGGGTATGTAGCTGGCTGTACTTACTTTTGCACTCTCCCCTCCCAGTGTACCTGTGGCTTCTTAACAGCTGATAGGGTATTTCTGTTTTCTCTGTGTGCTCTGCATGTCTTCCTTCTGCTGGAGCCTTTTCTGCATTGGGAAGGTATAGAGGGGGAACCTGTACCTAGAAATGCTACTTCTGCCAACCATTTTAGGCATAGACATCCTTCACAGTATATTCAGTGAGACCTTTTTGAGCATCTGTAGAAGACAGTCAGGTATGGGAGATGAGGATGTTGCAGTGAAACCCTCTTGTTTTTAGAAGGCTGTAATTATAAGAATAGACATCTGACTTTTTAAAAATACCAGCCAGGTATCTTAGTTGTGCCTTTTTGGTTTTACACCTGAACAATCTCTTTGTACAGAACAGTAGTTAAGATATTGAAACACTTTTGTTTATCTTTAGTATTGTCTTTTCAAGAGCAGCGACATGTACTTATTTTTACTATCTGTAGTGCACATAGTGATGAATATTTGATATAAGAGGTTTGAGCCTTAATTTGTCATCTGTATTGATTTGCCAGATATAAAATTGGATGCTTAAAATTTTATAATGTATCAAAGTGCTGCCTAAATGTCAGTAACTGATAATAATGATGATGATGATGATGTGGCATAGTTTCAAATTCCTCTAAGCCCTAACCCTCCTGAAAATTAGATACTAGGACAGCACATCAAATTGTTTAGACCTTACGTTGGATGTTCAGCCTTTATTAATAAGGTGACTCGCCACCTTCTGAAAGATGCCATTGTGTGATAACTGATAGAGTTCTGAGAAAGGCTTAGTAAAATGCATGTTCCTTTTTATTTCTTAGACCTTTCTTACATTCCCGATACTTTTTCACCCTTATCCCCCATAAACTTTTCAAACATTTCATGCCCTAGACTTGCTGAATGTCCCCTAGGTTGTTCATATAGGGCCGTGGTGGTGACCCTGTGGCACGTGTGTGGCTGCGGGCTATTTGTTATCATTGAAAGCTCTAAAAGGCTCTATATCACTGATACTTAGTATTCCAGTGGATTTTGGTGATAAAGATGGTACTGATTTCTGTATAGCTAAAATATTTAGGGAAAATTTGCTACATGAAGTTATTATTTACATTATGTACTTCTGAACAGTAAACTTACTTTATAATTATCCTGTATTAAAATACTGTTTTTTGCAGTGTTTGTCTCTAGAAAATCAATGTATTAATTTCGGAGGTAATATAAAATTGGTTTAGCTATTTACCAAAGGCACATTCTTTTTTTTTTTTTTTCTTTTAAAAAAACAGGAGTGTTTGGCAGTCCGGACTCTTGATCCTCTTGTAAATACTTCCAGTCTGATAATGAGGAAGTGTTTCCCCAAAAATCGCCTGCCACTTCCAACAATTAAAAGTTCTTTCCATTTCCAGTTACCAGTTATGCCTGTGAGTGGACCTGTGGCCCAGCTTTACAGTTTACCCCCTGAAGGTAGGACCCCAAGTTCTTGCTGGCTTTCCTTAGTTCTTGGAATTTTGTGACTGTGGACATTTAAAAAAAATTTTTTTTAACATGTGTCCAACTGCTCAGCACAAAAAGGTCTTAATGAACAATATAAACTTTTATATTTTAGTTAATAAATATTTCTTTAAATATAAGGAAGAAAATCTAGTAATTAAGGGGAAATAACAGGGTGTGTTGTGTGTATGGAAAAGTGAATTGTGAAAAACTGTAAGCATTATATAGGAATATAAGTTGATAATTTATATAAATTTTTAAAATATAAGATAGTGGCATTACATGTTTAGGTAATTATGTTTGGTTTTACATTTGTCGCTTTTTTCTCAAGTTAAAAAATATCCAGTCCAAAATTGTTACGGTTTATACTTAACAAAACCTTACAAGTAGCTTACTTGGAGAAATATGTGAAATTATCATAGAGAGGCTGTCATTTTCTGTATATTACTGTAAGTAAGTAGTAAAGGAAGTAAGCATTTAAACTTCTTAATGTGAGAAAAATATACATAGCAAAATGAAAAAGGGAAAGTTGTGTTGACTGTTAAGTTTATGACTTTTCTCCAAAGAAGTAAATCTTTTATTTATATAAAATACATGAAGTAGATGCTTTAAAAGAAGTATCTATAATTAGTTTTACTACCCTTAATGTAGATTTATTAATGGAATATGTCAGTAGGGAATGGTGTTATTATATTTTAAAAATATTTAGTTATTAAAGCACAAGTTTGGTTGACACAAAGTAGATGGATAAATGAAAGGAATTCCATCTGAAATTACCAACAGATTTTGAAAATATGGAAAAATCTGTCCCAAATCTGAAAACTAGGTCAGAGGGTATCCTCCTGAAATAAACATAGAATACAGAACAAATATGGTAGAGAAATGAATACATTAAGGAAAGTGTCAAGTTCATATCCCCTCCCACAGTGTAATCTGGGTCTCCAAAGTGAGATGCTACCAGCACCTCATTTGGAGGGATAATCAGAGGGTGGTTGAAATCTCTTTATCCTCCATGTCTCCACGTAGGACTCTGGGAGTGTAAATTACGGATGTTTAAATGGTGATTCTAACTGGTACAAAGCCAGTGAGGCCTTCCTATGATGCAGCAGGTAGTTATACCAGGAAAGATATAGCCCGTAGTGTTCTTTATTTAGTGTCCAGATTAATGGATAGACCAATAATGCAGTGAATTCACCAAATGTAGGAAAAAAATGAGAGAGGCACTATTTTTCCATTAGGTCCTTTTATGTGTGAGTCTCTGACTTGATGAATCAATAAACTGGAAATGTAGATTTACATTTTCTAACAAGACTTCTTAATTAGGTTGTGAGAGGAAGATTCTAATAACTGTAGAGGCACAAAGAAAATACTCTCATTCTGTTTTCAATTGTTTTCTCACATATCAGACTGCATTACATGTATCAAAGTCTTTGTTATTTTTTGTATGCTCCACTAGAATAGCCTGAGTTGTTTCTACTCATAGTTCTAACACCAAATATGTAGGTTGGTTTTCTCTCATACCAACAAATTCTCCACTTCTCTGGGCACCAGGTGGGTGTTGTACAGTTCAGTTCAATCCTAACACTACCTGGAGTTAGCATAAACCCCATAGGTTTAGGGGTGCTATCCCATAAGACTGCTCCTACTTTGGATGCCAGTAACAAAATTGGTGGGGGAGTTCTTACAGCCCACTAGTCAATGTTGATGGTTTGCTTTAATGGCTGACATAATTCAGACACACTCTTTGCTTACTAGTATGTTTTCAGGGTTACAGTTGATAGGTGAAGAGATGGATAGGATCAGGTACAGGAAGAGATGTGGACTCATGCTCTCTTCAGGCACATCACTTTCCTAGCACCTTGGTGTGTTCACTAACCCCCAAACTCTCTGTGTACTATCATTTAAGGTTTTTGTGATTTGATCAGTCATGATCGATCAAATCATTGACTATTGGTGAGCAACTCAATCTCAGCTCATCTTTTCTTCTTGGAGGTTGAGTAATGCTGAAGTTCAACCCCTCTAAACCTGCCTTCATGTTTTTAGCCCCCAGCTTCTGCCTTGAATCTCTGTTGGATTCCACCATGAGTTTTATGCTCGTTAGAAGGAAAGCTGCTCCTATCTCCTGATTCCAAGGGATTTAGCCGCTGTGTGCCATGAGCAGGGACAATGACGGAATATATGTTTATCACAATAGAACTGTTGTTTTTTTCTTCATTGTATCTTTAACATCTGTTAGATTACATGGGCCATAATAAAGGTTCATTTAGTACTTGTTGAATGAATGCAGTTGTCCTCAAGACTTGGCTTTCTCAAATGTTAAATGCCAGAAGATAGTGAAGTAGTATCGATGGAGGTTTAAAGAAAAAAGGTTCTGACTCAAGATTTCTGAATCTTTATTAGTTTCCAACATCTGTGGAGGTGTTACATTCTTAGAAACATAAGGGAACAGAATATATTATTCAGGTACCCTTACTGAAGTGATTATGTGAAATACTATTTCAGCCAGTCAAGTGATGGGTTAAAAATGTTAATGCAGAAGACACAGTAGAATACTAATTGTATTAACCATTATTACCTGTTTAACTATGTAATAGTAAATATTGGTAAAAGTCCTACAATACACAGTTATCATAAACTGAGTCTGTTACAAAAATACGTTAAATCTATATCAATAGATTACTATTCTTGCATTTCTAAAATGATATAGAAATATGTATTCTCAACTATAAAGAAATGTAAACATTATGTACTGCAAATGTACTAATAAAAAATCAAAAAGAAAGAATTGGACAGAGATCCTTAAACTGAGGTTCAGTGAACCATAGGATACATGGATGAACTTCAGAGACTATGAACACTTTGAAATTTTGTGTAAAATTATTTATTTTTTTCCCTTGGAAAAAATTCTTGAACGGATCACTCTCTGGAACATAAAAGCAAGGAAATTTCAGATACACAAAAACCCTGAGCAAGCTAAGTACAAAGCAAGTACAAGTAAATCAGTTCCATTAATTAGCAATCTAAATGGATAAAACACTCCAATTAGAAGAAAAGGGACTTAAAATGGGTTAATAAATGAAATTCACCTAGCTAATACTTGCTGGACTTGAAACAGCAGGGTGGAAAATTTGAAAATAAACAGAGTGGCAAATGTATATGTTACTCCTAGTCCAAAAGAAGGGAGGAAGACATCTTCTAATACAAAATATAAATACAGAAGAAAAAAATGTATAAAACAAGACAGCAAAGGTTATTTTATACACTCTAAGATAACACATGTTACAAATAATAGAACAAAAATAGATAAAAGTTATAATCTTTGGAATGACAAGGATAAATTGATGGAAACATAGTGTTATTGTACCTCTAAATCCTTGTCATATTACATAGAGGGGATTAAATCAATCTAAGTAAATGCTAAATATAAGCCCCAGTAAATTTGAATATATGATTGAAGTGGACAATGTTATAGGGAAATATGGATAATCAAATTGATTTAAATAATAAACAAGTTGACTATGCAATCAGGTTTCTTCATTGAAGAAGACACTCTGTGCTGATGATGTCATAGATTAGTTCTCTCAACTTCCAAGAAATTTCCCTATTCTTTATTTTCCAGCACGTAGGAAAATAAAGGAAAGTTTAGAAGCTAGCACGATGCTGCAAAACTTGGTAAGAATAACCTGAAACAACCTGTAGATCAACGTCACTCCTCAAAATAAATATCAAAATTTTAAAATGCTAACAAACTTAAGAATTAGCAACTTAATTGAGCAGTGTTTTTCATGTCTAGGACACTTGGGCCAAGTAAGGATTATTTTTAGGAAAGTAAGTTCACCATATTAGTAGACGTATAATAAAATTTATTATCAGTAGGTCAAAGGAAGGAAAAGATCATTGGCTTCAAGAGATTTCATAAAAATGCATGTCAGTTCCAGGTACAGTTTATTAAGGAAATCAGAAATGTTTTCAGAACAATCTGAGTACTATTAATATCAGAAATAGTAATGAAATCTTAAGAGGATGCCTCTCTCAACCATTTTAATTTAATATCATTTTGAAAGCTCTAGCTAAATCTATAAGACAGGGAAAAGAAAGGTTTTAACTGTTAAAAAGTGAGATATATCATTAGCTATGGAGAATAATATACTATTACGTATGAATTGTAAAACATGGCTTAGACAAAATAAAACACTAGTTACAAGAAAAATGAATGAAGTTATTCTGTATGTGTGTGTATATACCTACACATTTATATGTGCACAGCCTATTGCAAACAGGAAAAAAGAAATATATAAATATCCACACATCTATATAGCTGTGTGTGTTTAACAAAAACCAATTAAAAGACATAAAGGGAAAGTAGATCACATTTACAGGAGTAAGGCAACACCAAAAATAAACTCCTTGGATATAGTTTACAAATCCTTATAGAAAACCTTCACTCCTTTCTTCTAATGGTTACATCATGTGGATGTAGTATCATTTGTTTAGTTAGTGTCCTGCTGATAGATATTTAAGTTGTATATTTCTTGTTTGTTTTGTTTCTTTCTGGTTTTTTTTGAGACAAGCTCACTATGTATTCCAGGCTGGCCTCGAAGCCAGTCTGGCTTTAAATTCAAAATCTTCTTGCTTCACCCCCCCAGTCCCAAGTGCTGGGATTATAGATATACACCACCATGCCTGGCTATATTCTCTTTTTATTATTAAACGAGTCAGAGGCATTCTGAAATAAAAAATAATAATTTTGATTTATAGTCTCTGGTTTTAACTGTCTGATTAAGTTGTAGTAATTTATATTATTGGCAGTGGTATAAGAATACCATTGGATTTTTAGGATAGGTAAGAAGGTCTCAACCCTCTAAGTTATGCATTTTACATCTGAATAAGAAATCTGAAGGAAAATAGCATATAAAGGAAAATATTTGACAAATTTGGCCTGAAAGTAAAGGCATGTTTTGTCTGTGAGGCTGAACTGTGTTTTCCCCATCCCTGTCTGTGCAGTCATTTTTCCTGTTCGCAATAGCCTTTTCTGCAGTCCTTTAATTTTTTTCCTTATGAGTTCTTTTGTCTCCCCTCTCTTTCTCCAAGTGTTAGTTTTCTCCATTTATCCATGACTTTCTGCTGTTACCACATAGGCATAAATAGATCCTGGCCACCATATGAATACTTACACTTTTTTTTTTTTTTGGTGCTATTTTCAAAAGAATTTGAGGTCTCAAACTCAAAAGAGTTTGGTGTCTGTATTAGTTACTGAGCTGCTGTTACAGAGGCCCTGTAGTCTACTCAAACAGCAATAGTCATAAACATTTTTATAACACATACTGTTTGCCTGACAGCACATACATATGTATATATATGGTACAGTGTGTGTATATATATATATATATATATATATGTATGTATATGTACATATAAAATCATTTAGTGCTCAGAAGAACACTATGAGTAGGCATCTCCATTTTATAGATGAGGAATCTAAGGCACAAATCTTATGTGACTTGCTCAACATGAAATATCTAGCAAGATGGAGAATCAAACTTTGAATTCAGGAATTCAAGAATTCTGTCTCCAGAGTCCTTTTGCCCTGCCATTAAAAGAGAAGTTGACCCTTTACCCCTGCTCTGACCCACATCCCCCCCTATCTAGCTAGAATATAGGCAGATAATCCTTGGGTAGTAGATTTCTGTTGTACTAGGTTATCAAAAAATGTTTTCATTGTCTGTTATCATAAAATTACGTGCACATTGAAATGAGAATGAAAAAAATGGAGAGGGCAATTTTCTTTTTAAAGAATGTGACTTAGAATTTGTATTTATCACTTTGCATCATGTACCATTGACCAGTAGTTATTGGTATGTATGGCTGTAACTACTTCCAGGGAGGTTGGAAGCCCAGTAACTAACACACAGGGCTTCTGTTCCAAAAAGCAAGAAAAGAAGTACATACAATAGGACGACAGTCAGTAATCTTTGCTCTACATCACATTGGAAAGGGAGTTTGGGAAACTGTCTTTAAAGAAGCATTTTCTATCTTGTTTAAAAGCACTGAGCCTTACTGTATAGTCTTATAGACTCTTGTGCTCTTGTTCCTTTGTTTCCCCTACATCCACAGCCCATGTCCTTTTTCATTCAGTCCCTGGGTTTTTCTTTAATGTGTATCCTTTCCCTTTACTGCTGCATTTTCCTTCTTATTGATTGGCCCTGCTCTATCCATATACTCCCTTGATCACACCTGTCAGAGTGCTCTTGAAAATGCAAGTCCTTCTCATTCTATCACTTATTCTTTCTCAGTTATTTTCCTCTTGAATTCTCAATTCTTTCCTTCTGTAGGTTAAAAGTCTAAACTAAACTTGGCCTACTATATTAATCCTCCATTTGTTCTCATTCTTATTTGCTTGTTAGTACTTTCTCAAGCATATTATGCATGCTACTTCTACTTATTTTTCAAAGACATCTTCTCACTTCTTTATCTTAGTGTTATTTCTATTTTAAAAGGCACACTCACCCCTTTCTGTTCATATAGAAATATGTTATAATTTCTTTAAGAAATTGCTTAAATATGATCTGTTATGCAAAGTGATCAACACCTTGTTTTTAAACAATTTGCAACTGGTTTCTGCTCTGATTTTCCCATGGCAGTTTGAAGATTATGGCTTTATTAGCATTTATCTTCTGTATTATATTTACTTGTTTACTCCTTTCTACTTTTTACTCAGTGAGTTCCCTGAGGGCCGGGATTATATTAATATATTTTAAAAATTCCCAGTACACAACACAGTACATGGCACACAGTTATTGGAATGAATAGCAGGGGAATTATAAGGGATCAGATGCGGCATTGAAATTTATCATGAATTGGAAACAGGATGTTTTATTCTGGTTCTAGAAACATAAAATATTTTTTAAAGCTGAGGTTGTTAGCAAAAAGCTCACTTATTTTTACAGTGCTTTTCAGATTTTAAAGCACTTTCACATATTATTTCATAGGTTTTTTCAGTAGCTGGAACAATCTTAGACATTTTTAATAAGAAATCTCATTTGCTTTTTTCCCGGTGATTGAAATACTTATGTATTATAAAATTTACATACAGATATATATATATATATATACACTTTTTTAGACATGCGTGTTTTAGAATTCCTACCTCTGACCTACTTATAGCACGTTTTGTATCACAGTGGATGACGTAGTAGATGAAAGTGATGACAACGATGATATTGATTTAGAACCTGAAAATGAAATCGAAAATGAAGACGACCTAGATCAGAATTTTAAGGTTAGTGAATTTTTATCATTAGTCAGCTTTATAAGCTGTGTACTTCATTTATAAAAAAGAGATCTGGTAAGTCTATGTAATGGCATTTAATTTGTTGCTTTGTGGATAATTATGGACTGCATGATTGGAGGGCAAATGTTGCCTTAAATTTGTTGGGCTGAAAAAAGGCTAATGTAACTTTTTTCATTCCTTTGGAGCAGAAAGATTTTATTTAACCTTCTGCCTCAGATTTTGAAATTTAAGAGAATCTAAGGAGCCTAAGGATAGTGGTTTGAGCTCCATTGTGACAGCTTATTCCCAAATCCAATATCCTGTGTCTGCCATTCTTTGGGGATATAAAAATAGTAGGAAAATAGTTTATAACTGATGTATTTTTATAAGAATTCTTATAATGATTCTTCATACTGGACCATTTATCTAATGATTCTTTTGTTAATTGGAAAAGGGAAAAGTAGTGTATTAATTGAGAAAATATAGTTATTGTCGCATGAGATATAGGTAAAAGAAGCAGGTGACTTTTCAGATTTTATGGTACTTCTGGTACTTGGTTTTGTTTTATTTAGTGTTAGAGGGGACCACTAAACTGTATGAAGAAAAATGGTCTCTGATTGATTAACCATTTTGCTTATTGCTTGGTTTTTTGGGGGAGAGGGTATTATTTGACTTGCTGCTTGGGTGTTTTAATTTTTTTTAAATCTTAGATTACTGCATTACAATTGGAGTATACTGAGGCTTCTGGATCTTAACATATTGCAAGATTTCTATCCTAATAGCAAGTAGAGAACAAATTTTGTTGTAAGCATGATTACCAAGGTAATCAGTGCTTTGCAAAATTGTCAAATTAGTCTGTCTTCTGGCATTAAGAAGGCAAATAACGTAGGCTCTGATGGATAACTGCATTTTTGGTTCTGAGTCTGATAGAATGAAGATAGTAAGTTCCAAGATAGAGTTTAAATTACCAACATAAAATTTTCCTTGGATAACAAGAAGAATATTAAAAAGTGACTGTTTGGATTCTTGGAAAGTGAATGTTGGGGAGTAGTAAAATTTCCCAGATTAATACTAAATTTTCTAGGTTAATCTCTTTAAAATGTTGTATTTTGGAAAACTTTTTTATTCAGTGTTTATTAAAAACAAAGTATATTCAGTATGTTTTTCATGTTCAGTTTTCATTAAAAATATCTGTTTTGGGGGTGCTTTGGAGATGTGAAGAATAGAGTGGAGAAATAGAACTCAGTAGAAATAAAAACAATGGCTGATTTTGCTCCTAGAAAATTAGCATGTACGGATGCATACGCGCTTTAAAAAAATTCTAACCATTTGCAGGTAAGTTACATATATCATGTGTCATGCTCCTTTACCCATAAATGCACCAGTATACCATATTACAGCTGAAACTTCCTAAGTTCATAATGATGAGGCTTTTATCAAGTCTGCCATCTACATTCCATTTTTCAGTTGATCTTATCATTTTTTTGCGAGAGTTTTTCTTTATAGGCAAATATTTTTTAGACAGCCACTGTGTAAGGCTGTATTTTCACAAAATAATATTAAACATTAACAGGTATAATTAGGGAAAATAATTTTTGTATTTTCTTATTTTTGAAGCATTTCCTATTTATTAGATGCTAATCATGAAAATTATATTACTGGTTCGTAATCTGTAACTTAAAAATAGCTAAAATTACAACTTATATAATAATTATACAATGATACAGTGATTGGCATATTAGCTACATGTATATAAGGATTGAGGCATAGTAAAATAAATTTGCTTTAAGGCTAAAAAATTAGTTCATGTATAGTAAGATAAATAGAACATTAAAATGAGTACCAATTAAAAATCAGTAGTGGTCTTATTATCTCTCTTTAATTATCTGTGAAGATCACATTGAGTTTGTCTTTGTGTGAGGCCAATTGTTGGGAACCCTAGAAATTAGCTTGGATGCTGTGTACACTGAGCCTGCCCTCTTTCCCAGGTGCAGTGGCTCTTCTCGGAGGCACACACAGATGAGATTCATCCTGGATGCATATCTACTTTCTCCAAAGATATGTTTTTAAATTTACCATTGTCTTTCCTAAAGGGGCATGAAGATTAGGTCTGGCAGTTTTACCACTCCTTACTTTTTTCTCCTAAAAAAGAGAGTCAGTGGTACCACTGAGCTTTTTTAAGGCCCCTTTCTTTACCATGACATGTAAGTGTGTGACATCCCACAGTCTGTGTGAGGCAGTGCATCATACTGGCCAACACTGTGTGCTCTGGCATTGTTCAACTTTTGCATCCTGGCTTCTCTCTTTGAAAGGTGTAAACTAATAGCAAGCTCCTTAACCTATGTATTGTTTTCAGTTAAACGAAGGTAATGATATTATCTACTTTAGCCTTCTTATGCAAATTAAATTAGCTTCATATATTTTTAGTGCTCACTGTTAGCTGTTTTGTTTATTACCACCATTAATATGTACATACACGTGTGTGTGTATATATATATATATATGTATATTATATATATGTTTTTCAATTCAGCTTTTTAAAGTTTTATTGCCTTTTAAAATGTGCAACATGCCGGACGTGGTGGCACATGCCTGTAATTCCAGCACTCAGGAGGCTGAGGTAGGAGGTTTGCTGTGAGTTTGAGGCCAGCCTGAACTACATAGCAAGAGTCTGTCTCAAAAACCAATAAAATAAAATGAAATAAAATTTGTGATATGATGGCATTTAGAGAGATTGAGAAGAGCATACTTTAATCTTGATCATGACATAGATTTTTTTTTTTGTCATGAAGAATCAAATCCCCTGTTACATTAGAATAACCATGAAAAAAGAAAAACCTGACAATAACAATCCAAAAACAATAAACAAATCTCAATTTATATAAAATTGTTACAACCTTTATTTAATTAGTATTTTCTCTAGTTGTACCTTTAAAAAACTGGTGACATGCTATTTTTATTATTTCAGAATGATGATATTGAAACAGATATTAACAAATTAAAACCACAGCAAGTACCAGGACGAACAATAGATGAACTAAAAATGTATGAACACCTCTTCCCTGAGCTTGTTGATGATTTCCAGGTAAATACTAATAAAATTTCTTTTTCTTTTCTTCCTTAGGCTAGAATGAAACTAGAGTTGCTTTTCTGAGTGACTAAAAATAATTATGTTGACATTCTGAGCTGCAAATTGTTTATCTATAATGAGCAGAGGTAGACTACTTTTTAATTTTTTGTCACTTTGATCTATAATTTTTAATTGAAACTTTTTTTATTCCTTGTCTCATATTATTTAAAATTACATTCTAAAATCTCATTCGTTGTTTCTTCCAATGTTGTTCATTTAAGAGGAGCACTAAGCAAGTGCTGAGTTAAAAATACAGTCTCTGTGTTAATTTTTCTCCTTAATAGTTCACTGTGCAGGGCTGGGGATGTAGCTCAGTGGCACCAGACCTGCCTGGCAAGTGCAAGGTCTTGAGTTTGATTCCTGGTACCAAAAAAAAGTTCACTGTGTAACAGTAGTGAAAGCAGTGGGGAAAGGAGGCGGACACTTAGATGTCCTTAAGTTGATTCAGTGAAAGAGTGAAATGTTATTAGTATTTCTTATCCTCATTTTTTGCCAAAATGTAATTACTTAGCTTAGATTTCATAGCAAATAAGGTTGAATTCTTGGCAATTAGTAGATCTAGTTTCTTATTCTCACTTTATAGCCGACTTGTAGGGATACTTGGATAAATCTCTGAAACTGTCCAGGATCTTAAAACTGTATGCTTGGACTAGATAATCTTTAAGGTTTTATTAACCTTGCTAACTACCTTGCTTCCCAGATTCTGTACACTTAATTTCCAGTATTTTAAAGAAAAAGACTAATTTCATGTTGTATGTGGAAAATACAAAAGTAAATATTTGCCAGCTAGGATTTACATTTCTAATTATTCTAATTATTCAAGATTCTCTATGGGAATGAATTTATCTTTTTTGAGTAAAGTAAAGGTTGCCCTGCTTCTTGTACTTTCATGCCTTGGTGTACTCTCCATACATTTGAAGTAAATTGGAAGATACTCTGAAATTAGAAGTGATATAAGAAGGGCAGGAGTAGAGGACAAGGTAGGTGTGTGTGTGTTTTAAGAAAAAAGAAAAGATAGAATAAGAAGGCATCAAGAAGAGTGTATGAAACGATTATCTGCTATTCATCCTACAATAATTTTCAGGCTTACTGTTATTTTTAATGCATTTTATATCCAGCTAGGAACCATTTTGAGTTAAAATTCATGAGTTAGCAAATACCTCTAAATCAAGGCAGAAAAATATTGTTGGAGGTATTTGGTGTGTGTGTGTGAAGAATATACCTAATTTTTCTCTCATTTGTGTATATATAATGTGATCACAATGTGAGGCAGAAAATCACATATAGAAGACAGGATTGCAATTAGTGACCAGGAAAAGAGAAATTTTTTAAAAATAGTAAGGGACCACAAGAAATCAATCTAGCAACTACTAGATGATGCAAGAAGAATAACATAAAACTTATTGGAGTCAATGAAGAAACAGAAGAGTGTGCAAACAACATAAAAAAACTGTTCACAGAAATAATGGCAGAAAACTTCCCCAGCAGGGGAAAAGAATTTGACATACAGATAAATGAGGCATATAGGACTCCAACTAGCCATGATCAAAAACAAACAAAAAAACCCACAACCCCCCGCCCCCCATGACACCTAGTAGTTAAGATTCCAGAAACCCAACAGAAGAACATAATCCTTTAAGCAGTTAGAGAAAGAAAAAAATCACACACAAACGATACAAATGAAAGTCCATCAGAATCACAGCAGAGTTCTGAACACAAACCCTCAAGTCAAGAAGATCCTGGAGTGAAGTATTTCAATCCCTAAAAGAAAACAACCTGCAACACAGATTGATATACCCTACAAAACTATCTTTCAAAATTGATGGAGAAATAAGACACTTTCATGACAAAGAACACCTGAGGAACTTCATGAATACCAAACCAGCACTCCAAAAAATTATAAACAATATCCTAGGAAAAGACAATGAAAATCACAACCTCAGGAAACCCAGCAGAATGAATCCATCAGACAACACAAGAAATTAAATGTAAAGGGGTAGAATCCAACAACAAGAAAAGGTCATGACAAGGATAAGTCAATACATACCAGTTATAACCATCAATGATAATGGTCTCAATTCACCAATCAAATAAATGAACTGGCAGAATGGGTCATTAAGCAAGATCCAACAATATGCTGCATATAAGAAACACACTTAATTCAAAAAGAAACTCATAGACTGAAAGTTAAAGGGTGGAAAACAA